AAAAATTTTTAAAAAAATCGATTTGGGTAATTTCCCTTTTTTTTTTTTTTTTTTTTTTTTTGCGAATGTGGGATAGGCAAGGTGTGATTTAGAGGTCGCACTAGCTAGATTCGTAAGGGAGAATTTTTTTTCCTGATAATAGATAGAATCTTTAGATTATATATTTGATAATTCATATTAACAACAAACATCTCTATTAACTTCGCTGATTAGCCCTTTCATTATTAAATTAGAAATTCCGTGTTTGAAACTCTTCAAGAGCAATATTTTTTATAATTTTTGAATTTCAACAATTTTTACCAAAAAAAACTCAAGGATGGTAATTCGAACTTACTACTTTCCGTAAACATATTTACCATCATGATACTTATTGATTTTTAGCATATAATGTAACAAAATAATATATATTCAAATTTACTGGTTTAATGCAAATAAAAACATTTTAACCAGTGCTTTGTCCCTCTTCATGATTTTCTTTTTCTTTTCCTTTTTTCCTCTAATGAATTGATTTGAGATTTTGGTCAATTAATGGTGGATGAATTTGTAGAAAAATTGGTCTTAGTGTCATAAAGAATTTTTCCACAGAACTTTGTTATTAATAAAAGTTTCAATTTTCGTTCACAAAAAATCGATTGCGAGAAAGTGAAATCATACAAGTACATAAAATTGATTTAAGCATATAAATAATTTCAATTTTGTTACTATAATAATGCTTGTTTAATTAACTTTAATTGTAAATTGAATATTAACATTTTGTTAATATATATTGCTTATTTAATTGAAAAATAAATTATGACATTTTGCAGATTATGGAAAGATTTTTTTTATCCAAAATGAAAATTCGTACCTAGTTCTAATTCTTCTAGCTCTATTCCGTACAATTTTTTGAATATTAATTAATCAAATATTAATAAACAATTCCGCTATCACGAACGTTGGCCGTCGATATTAAGCTTTCAACACTCGCGATTCGCCCTAACTGAATTCGACCCTTGGATTCGCGATAGGTGAGCCCATTTTCCGCTAGTTTTTCTATCTACTTATTTATTTTTAATATAATTTAAGTCTAAATTGGGTCCGGAATGAAGGAAAAATAGTTAATTCTGGCGTGGAACAAATTAATTCAGTTGACATTACTAGTAGTTTAATTCCGCGTTGGGAGAAAAATCAAACCCTAGCGTAACAAAACCCTAGCCATACTTGACACCAAATCAGAATAAAATACATACATCACAAAATTCTCAATATTCAATCAGTAGTAAGATGGAAGAGATTACGGAAGGAGTGAACAAGATGGAGATTGTGGAATCTCTGAAGAAGAATCGAATTCAAGTTTCCTATACTAAGAAGCCCCTTTTCTTCTACGTTAATCTCGCCAAGGTTTTTATTTATTCTATTGATATATATCATTTATATGGTATCAATTTTGTTTTTGTATTTTGAGTTTAGTAATTTGATTTTTTCTGTAATCCCACCCACTCTAGAGATACATGCAGCAATACAACGAGGTTGAGCTTTCAGCACTTGGAATGGGTAATTGTTATTTGTTTGATTCTTTGGAGTTTTATACTTTCTGATTCGAAGTTATGTTAATGTTCACAGTCCTGCCTCTTATTTTAATCATCTTTATGAGAAATTTATCTGTTGTTAAATTTCTATATGCTTTCGTTTAAATTTGATAAATAACGGATCCGCCCTTAGATGCCAAAAGTATTATTTTTTCGACGTTTTCTTTTTGTTTATATTTTTATTCATCTGCTAATGATTATTGTGTAGAAAAAGATAAGGATGATGTTAATCTCTCTCTCTGTCTCTCTCTCTCTCTCTAATCTCCTATCTAAACTTTTCAACTGTAAATGAGAAACCCTTTCAGTGACGGTTGGTGCGGTTCTATATGACAAGATCATATTTGTTTATTTTTACAATAGTAGTGGCATCAAAATGGATATAATTACTACATGGCTTTTGTGCACATTTTGGAGCATTATCTGTTTGTGCACGCTTGATGGATATTCATAAATAAATGCATTTTTTTTTAGAGTACTTTCTGTGTGAATAATTTTTGTAGAATATAAATGGTAGTTCCTTAAATAAAGAAGTATATCTGTACATATAATGATTGAACACTAGCAAGCACTAAAAAATGAGCATATATAAGTTGTGGATATTTGCTGGTTTTTGAAGTTTCCTCTTGAAATACCTGCTGTTGTTGCTTAGGTGTTGATGTTCCATTTGTGTTTATGTCGTTGCAGCAATTTCAACAGTTGTCTCAGTCGCTGAAATTCTGAAGAATAATGGATTTGCTGTTGAGAAGAGTAAGTTTTTTTGGGTGCACTTTGTTTAGACCAATTCATTTACTTTGATAAATGTGCAAGATGCCACATAGTTGTGAATGTTGAATTTGATATTAATTTAAACCTGGCAGAAATCATGACATCCACTGTGGAAATAAAGGATGACGCCAGGGGAAGGCCCATTCAGAAAGCCAAGGTTAGTCTACTCTACAAAGACTCTTCATTTACCTCACTTTTCTAAGCGGGAAGGGATTTGGTTTGGTACATTAAAGGTCTTTCAAAGGGTTCACAATAAAATCTGAACATCGATAAGCATGCGTAGTGTACACAAACTAGTTTTATCTAATTGATTAACATTCACCTGTAGTGTGGCATGTGACCCTTCTGTTAGATAGTTGTTATATAGCACAATTATTCAACTATTGTCTATTGATTGATTTATGACCAGTCTTTCTTTGTTTGTACTCCGTTACAGTTGATTGTTAAGTTTTTGTTATTTCCACTGGGCTTTTGGACGCGAACAGGCTGTTTAGAAGCTCAGCATAATTTTTTCATGTCATAGGGGAGGAATTGACACGATAGAAACACAGAACACAGTGAATAGTCCTATTTTCCTCCCAAATTTGTTTCTATATCTCATTTGGGAGTTCCAGTGGACATTTGATTATAGGCTATGTAACCATTGTCCTTTTCAGAACAGATTTGCTTCTCAGCTTCTATATTTTTGAATTTGACCATGTTAACATACCTATTCTTATTTCTAGGGAAAGGTAAAATTAAGATATGAAAAGTGCCTATAGTGTCAGTCGTCTGCGTCTGAATTTGAATTGGATATACTTACAAAGACATTTTTATTTAGCTCCATATCAACTATATTTTCGCATTCTTGAATTACCATATACTTAATCATCCCGTGTAAAACATGAAACTGTGTACTTGTTCAGTTGCATAATTCTCATGCATATATCATGTAAATGAAATTGCTTTGTTCATTATTAAACATGGTCCAATGCTAGTAACTTTGTTTATTGATAAATGAGGTCCAATGTTACATTATATTTATGCAAACCAAATGAAAAAAGGATAAATTTTCATTGTTCAAAATGACCAAAAATATAATTATCTGCAAGAATGTGACAGAAAAGGGGAAAATGTAAAAATAAATTATTCTTCTGAATGGTCTGATAGCATTAATTTTCCAGAGATTGATATCAAGTAGTTTCTTTTAGAAGTTATTATTACACAGTGTGCTTTAGTTATACTTGTCTTCTCTTCTCTATTTTTTTTGGATCCATTCTATAATCGTTCCAGCTTCATCTCTGGAAATGGAAGTTGCATTTTCGGCTTGTTTTGCATAGTTTCGAACCTCTGACAAGTAGGATTGGAAATGCTAAGGGGAAACATGAGTGTGCCTTCGATGTTGATATTATACAGTAAGATAATAGATAACACCAAGTGATTAATTGTAGGACCCCTACTTTTGAAGAGTGGATTTTCACAATTCTAGTTTCAGTTGGTACATTTGAATCAAGACAAGAAGCCTAAGTATTGAACTTAAAGTTCTATGTCAACTATCCATGTTTGCCAAGAGCATGCCTCATATTACTTACAATTTGGAAGAGGTGGATAAATAGCTTAATATAGGTCAGGGGTCGGTGAAAGATACTGAGTATGATAACGTTTTTATTATAAATTGGAAAACCATAAACAAGCACAAACACGAACACAGCATTATATGAACAAAGCTAATTGCAAGAAAATTTATTTCCTACCTTAGAATCTCTATCAGAACAAGGCTATAGTCAATTCTTTTATTTCTCTGGCTGAAAACTGCCATCTAACATCCTTTGATCTTTCAACTTTATGTTTCTGGTTTATTGCCTGCATCTAACATCCTTCGATCTGAACAAGTTGCATCTACTGGATTCTTTTATTTCAGATCGAAGTTGTGCTTGGAAAAACAGCAAATTTTGATGAACTAATGGCTGCAGCTCAAGAGGCCAGAGAAATGGGTAATGGGGACGAGCAGAACTGAGAAAAACCGTTTCATCTCGTGCGACTGGATTGGTGTCAAGACAATCTATAGTTTTGTGGCTCTGATTTTGTATCACAATTTTCTTTAAAGATGTTATGGCTTTGACTGATTTTTTTGATCCATGTTTTTTAATTTTTCAAAAACTCGAGCATATTCTCTTTTTAGACGGGTTAATTGTCGTTTGTTGATTGATTGATCTTATTCTTTGGAAGTGAATTGCTATAGTATACTAGTGTTGAAACGTTATTTTATGTATCACATAATTGTTAGTGGCAAACCATGATCAGGGAGGAAGTATGTTATTCAAATTTGATATGGAGGTTCATTAAATTTTTACTCTTTGTTTAATGGTTTTTGAGAGCATAAATTCACGTATTTAAATATGTTTACTTTTAAGGGAATTTATAATTATACTTTTTGAAAAAAACGAGGAACGTAGTCATAATTTACCCAATTAAAAATTTAAGCAAAAGAGAGAGTTGTGGGGACTTTTTTATTTTCTCAATAATAATTTTTTTGGGCTTGTTTTAGGCATTATAGACAGAAGAATGCCCTGCGTACAAGGCATTCTTTCACAAGGGCTTTACAAATCCCTCACTGTGTGGAGGGGGTTCACCTGTATTTTACCCAAAAAAAAAAAAAATTTATTGTGGGGCCCACCTTATGTCTTCCTTGACTGGGGCTGTGAACCTGGCTCCTGTAACCGTAGCATTACTTTTATAGACAGAAGTAACAAAGGCTCTTCCTAACTTATTTTTTCTCATATTTTAGTCTTCAACCTTTTCTTGATTAGAATAACTCGAACCTGTCGATGGATCCTGTCTGAATTTGCTGTGAGCTTTCTTTGCTCCCTTGAGCTCCTTGCCCTTAAATTGCTGTATTTCGAATTAATTGTGTGGCAAAAATGACAATTAGATCATTCTTCACTTGCGCTAGACACATCTATAATTTTTGTTCCTCTACTCTCTTTTGTTTAAAATTCAGCCCCAAATTAACCTTAATACCACCCGTCGTTTTTCTCAAACATGTTAGTAGTCGAGCTTCTCTCAAAAATGGGATAGTGATTAGTAAAATGAAAATGATAAGAAAATAAATTAAAAAGAAATGTTGGCCAATGTTGTTGATAATATATATTTTTATCGAAAATGTATAACTATATTTAAATTTTCATTATTCAATTAATGTTAAATAGAAAAGGTTGGCATGAGCTGACCCAGCCTCAACATGGCTCGTATTTTTTGACTAGCCATAGCTTGAGTGGAGCCAAACAAGAGTCCAGTTGTCGAACCTACACAATCCAGTCATATACACTTTGTGTGCACCAGTGCCAAATGTCTATAATTGAGTGAATTATCCAAATGGTCACTGAACTTTGTAAAAAGTTTTCAAGAGGTTATTGAACTTCAAAAATCATCTAAATGATCACTGAACTTTGTAAAAAATTTCTACAGGGTCAGTTACCTTGTGGAAACCTTTTGCAAAGTTCAATGACCATTTATGTGATTTCTCGTAGAAACCTTTTACAAAGTTCAATGACATTTAAGTAATTTTTAAAATTTAGTAACTCTTTGAAAACCTTTTATAAAGTTCAATGACATTTAGATAATTTTTAAAGTTTAGTGACCTGAAAACCTTTTTTTGCCAAGTTAATTCACACACTATAAATTAGAGACTCGACATTCAGCAACCGTCGAGAATTAGACAGATCTTGTTCTTGCTCATTCAATACTCGTTTTCTACTTCGGGAACAGAACACAGCATACATCTTCGATGATTATTCCAACCGTGGGAAAAACTTTACTGAGGATTACAGTGATATTTTTCTCAATATTTCTAGCCCTAATTCTATTCACACCGTCTTTCCCCTTCTTCCAATACCCTGTAAATTCTTCACCGTAAGTCGTTGTCGATTCTGTTATATCATAATTTAATTTATTCAAGCATTGAACACCGTGATTGCCTGTCTATATTTACCTGATCTAAGTTGTACAATGGGAAATTGCAGATCATATAGACCAGAGATATGGAGTCTTCGAAGGATTGTTGAATGGAGACCTTGCAATTGGTGGATTCAAGGCCACCCAGCTGGTTAGATTTTTCATCTTTTGTTGAATAAGTTTTAAAATCCTTGTTGGGATCAGGTTCAGAAAAAAGAGAGCAGATTTTAAGTACGAACACGCCAATCCAAGCAAGAGTGAAGTTCAACTATGTCGAAAAACTTGATCTAGAAGCTTAAGCTTTTAGAGAGAGTCATATTAATATTATTTAAATCTTGTCTTCAACCCATCCCACTTGTTTGCAGGATACATTTTTCCCTCCAAATGCGTGCACAGTTTCATTAAATGGGTGGCTGCTATGCTTAACCACATTAAACTTAGATATCGCTAAGGACAAGGAAGGATAAGGCGATGATAAATTTAGTGTTTGGTTTCAAATGAATATTCGAGAATCAAGGGAATGTACGAAAATAACTAAGAGATAAATACGTCATAATTTTATTACGTGCATTCGTAGTCAAAATGGCATATTATTTTGATTGTCACATATGTCAATCCACACTATTTTACACGAAAGTGTAAAATTTCCCTATCACAATTAACCATTGAGAACACAATCTGGGGAAAATGTGAATCGCTAAGTCTGCCTCTCTTGATAGGTCTCCTTTTCATCAAATGTGATCCCTCTTGCTCCATCAAAATCTTTGCATGTGTAGGAATAAAAGTTTTCATTTATAGAGTACTATGTCTCATTTCGTGATTAGGTCTGTTTATTCCTTCTGTTTTCTACTGGGAAAGATGAATGAAAATGCGTCTCCAAATCAAAACCCTCTGCAATCTTCAACCATCACAAACGCAATGTTGAGAAGCAAAGACACTTAAAGCTGTATGACCATTGATATAAAAAGAATGCTTTATTGGCCTGCAGCAGCTGAATTTTGACAAGATACAAGTTTTGCATCGAGAAATAAAATTTCACTGTTGCAGCATGGACAGACCATCAAGAGAAGCAAATCAGCAACACTAGTATTAGCAATAGCCAAGGCAATCTTTGCCAAACTATTTTCCTTTAATCATCACCCACGTTATCCGTCTTTTCGATTTGCCCACTTCAGTCAATACAAAACTTTGCCTTTAACATCTCGTCCTCCTTCTCCAGAGAATGCTATTTTCCTTTTAAAGCTGAAATGCAGTCATGGAAAAATTAATGATGATGTAAACCCTGAGTAGGGGAGAACATAGTAAAAATTTAGACTTCTATGGAGAATCTGGTGGAAAATAACACTTTAGGGGGGTGGGGAGAGGGGTGAAATGTTGAGTACTCATCCATTCCTAGCTATATGTGAGGATTAACTTCTATTCATTTCTGTATGTAACTTTTAAAGAAGAATTAATTGAGGTTTTTGTGGGGGTGTGTGCATAATGTTTTACTTTTCAGTTTGGGGGTGGTTTGATTTTTCTTTCTAAGTCAATTTTGACTGGCTTCCAATGCAGACATTTGCATTTGGTTTTTGTTGTTGAAATGCTGCAGCTTTACCAGCCAAGAGTAATGGGTATATTCGAGTGGATTGCTATGGAGGACTCAATCAGATGAGGAGGGATGTGAGTTCCGTTTCACATTATCTGTTGGTCATGATTGGCCGCACTTCTAATCGCTTTCTTTTTCTTCTATTTTATTACTTTAATTGGCACGCTCTCTGATGCTTGTAGTTGTGTGATGGTGTTGGAGTTGCTCGCTTGCTGAACGCTACTCTTGTTTTGCCCAAATTTGAAGTGGCTGCTTATTGGAATGAATCCAGGTAAGAAATGGTTATGAGTCTATTGACACAGGAGACTATTCTTCTGCACTTGCAGGATTTTGTTATTGATTTAAGTCAGAAAGAATGAGTTCGTTTATGGAGTGCAGTCCCTTAAACTAGAGTTAGGTGAAGTAGATTGATGTCTCTCAACCCAAAAATAAAAAATAAAAAAGATTTTTCTACCTCACTTTCTTGTGTCAGAGACTAGGAACACGATTTTCTCTCCTAGCATTCCATTTAATCACTGACAAAACCTACGTCTCTGTGTAACCATCCTCCATGTATGCAAGTATCTCTTGCTCTAAGATGCTCCCACTCTCTAATTATTTCTCATCTTTGGTATGTTCTCTCTATTAATTTGACTTACTTATGGTTGGGTTACTTGGGTTGTATTTTGTGGGTGGGAAACATTCAGCAGACTGCTGAAATAATGAAATTTACGTCTTCAATTGCTTTTGTGATTTTCATTCATTCGATGTAAGCTGCATTGTGGCCTAACTGATTATTTCACCATGCAGTGGATTTGGAGATGTGTTTGATGTAGACTATTTCATCCAAAAAATGAGTGGCTTCATCGAAGTAGTAAAAGAGTTGCCTGCAGAGATTGCATCAAAAGAACCTTTTCATGTTGATTGTAGCAAACGTAAAGGTCTATATGACTATGTTGAAAGTGTGCTTCCTTCCCTTTTGGAGCATCGTTATATTTCATTCACGCCGGCAATGAGTCAAAGAAGGGATAGGTACCACTCCGTATTCTTGAATTCCTTTATTGTAGTAAAAAATCTCTTCTTATACTTACAACACAAATTCTGGTCAACCTCGCTTTCGTCGCTGGTCACTTGTTCCTGCACAGGTACAAAGATATATATTCTTGTCATTGTTTATATTATGTTGTCTTGGGTGGGCGTGTTGGTGCTTCTAGTCTTGAAAAAATTCTTGCTGCAGTCGAGGAATAAGCAATTTAAATCATGAGGACTTACGTATTATTTACGGAAAAATTAAGTTCATTGCTATTGGATCTATTCCAAGTAACTGCCTTTAATATTGGAATATGGCCTTGGACATAAATGATAATTTGGAATATGATGGTAGAAAATTGATTATTTATTGTATTGGTAAAATTGGACATGCTGAACTTCGAGGCTTGTTGTACCACATGCTTCTTGATGAGTATAAGTTCTTGCCCTTTACCACGCATTTGCGATTTTCGTAAGATGTGTTTATCAAGATTCCAGAGTACATCTTATAATCATAAATTTTATAGGTATCCACTATATGCCAAAGCTGCATTCTGCCAGGCATGTTACAATGCTCTGCGCTTAACCAGCACGTTGGAGAAGAAAGCGTCTGAGCTTTTAGAAGCTATACCGAAGCCCTTCCTTTCACTTCACCTTCGGTTTGAACCTGACATGGTAGCTTATAGTCAATGTGAGTACTCTAATATGTCTCCTGCCTCTTTGCAAGCCATAGATGCTGCACGAGGAGACCGGAAAGCCTGGACTGGAGAACAGGCCCGTATATGGAGAAACCGGGGAAAGTGTCCCCTCACGCCAAATGAAACTGCTCTCATCCTTCAAGCTCTTTCTATCCCAACAAACACAAATATTTATTTGGCAGCCGGGGATGGCCTGATGGAACTCGAAGGATTAACTTCAGTCTACACGAATGTTTTCACTAAGTCGACCCTTCATAGTGGTGAGGACTTCACAAGCATGCATGGTAACACGAAAGCTGCGCTGGACTATTACGTGTCCATCAGCAGCGATTCATATGTGGCAACTTATTTTGGAAATATGGATAAAATGGTTGCAGCAATGCGTGCTTTGAAGGGATTGCCGAAAACACTTTTCTTAAGCCGGAGGGGTTTTGCTGTGTTAACTTCTCAGGGGCTCAAGGGGAAGGCACTGCTTGAAGCCCTATGGAAAGTTCATAGAGATGATTTTGTAATGGGTGTAGGATCTGCTTTACCTGATTGCTTTTGTGAATACAAGTTATGAGTTTAGTTTCCTAAAATTTAAATTCCTTCGGTAAGGGATGGTTTATCCAATAGACAATTGTTCAAGTTGCGCGTAAGTCAAGTCGTCAGCTGAGTTTATAATTGATTCTAGAAGTTTCTTGAGAGAGTTGAACATTAGGTGAATATATATTTTTGAACTCAATTTTTTTCCATTTTTGAAGGTTTGGATGTTAATTGTAATTCATGAGTTTGAATTCATTTATTATAAATTTAGTCATGTCTTATATTTTCTTTCTGTTTGTACGCTATATTTGGTCGGCTTCTTGCTCTACGTGGTCAAAACCAAGCTCAAATTGAGCCTTGTAGAAACTCCCTTTCATTCATTTTTCTATTTACTTAATTATACATCTTTTGAAGTATAATTTAAATATAGAAACATAAAAATAAATAAGAAGTAAGAGCAAAGGTGTAGACTATGTTTCCCTTCCCTGCCCCAGTTTGGCAGGGCATTTTGCCACTTTTATGGATTCCATTTCCTATAATCCTTATGAGCCTACGTTTGGATACCTATTTATAAATAATTTATCAATTTAGTTAAAGTCAAATATGAATCATACATTCATAATTAGTAGTTATTATTATACACATAAATTTGTAAAACCAACTATTATTCCACTCGATAAACCATTTATAAATTTCCAAGAAGCTAATTGTTGGGTTCTTGCAAGAACCATAAGAACAAGCTCATTTCGGACCTGACCTAAATTGAAAAATAATGAATTGTAATTCAAGAAACTCGAACACAAAAGTTGTCCTTGTCTAACCCTCAGGAAGTCATACTTCAAAATACTACGAATTCAAGGGCGAAATATCACAAGTTTCCACTAGCACGGCATTTTGGATTTGAACTAAAAAAAACAGAGATTGATAGACAAGTCACTGGAAGCATTTCTATTAAAAATTTGAAAATGCTTGTATTGTGAAGGTCGCCCCAGAAGATCACAAAGCATTTCTCTGTATTACTTGCTTATAACTACGAGAGACCAGTCAGTTTCCCTTTTCTTCTCAACTGCTGCATTTTCCATGATAGGATCTTGTTGGAACTCAGAACTAGTTTACGCAGGGTAAAACATTATGCCAGGAGAGTAGAATCAACTGTCGAAGATCAGCAGAAAATGATAAAATGGCCATTTCAAGAGATTCAGAATCTCTTCCTCTAACGAGAAAATGATACCTAGTGAATCCATATAACATCCCGTAACATTAACATTTGTAGGGCTTCCTATCAATGATAACGAAAATAAAATCAATTTCACTCAACAAGGCAAAATGGAACAAAAACGAATATAACATAGGATGGAAAGAAAAGTATACAAAATCAGCAAAATGGGAAATGATAAACCATCTGTGCAGCCCGGCCTGCATTTGTATGTGACTTGACTGAGAGCACACTTAACTAAGCTTGAAACACAAGTAAATTCTAAAAGAAATAATTTCATTTGTTGGTCAATGTTGGAAATAACTGACCAACCTATATTGAAATTTTAATTATAAGTAGGACTTACATTTAAGCCTAGCCAACAACTAAATTGAGATGAATTTATATACATTCTGGCAGCTGCAAACTTCTCCTACGTGGAGGTACTCAAATTAAAAACCGTATGCATTAACCTGTATTATTCATTTTCATTTCTCTAAAAATCTTTTCGGCTCCAACAGAATATCTGTTGCGACAAAACCCATCAATGAGAGAGGTATAAGTGACCACATTTGGCGTAGAATTCCGTTTTACCATAAGGCTAAAAAATTTTAATGCACCATACAGATCATGTTGCTTTATATACCCATCTATAATAGTAGAATAAGTAAATTCATCAGGAGAAATATTTCTATTTACCATTTTATTCATACAGATGATTGCGTCTGTCATCATCCTAGATTTACAGAAGCCCTTAATCATCGCATTGTAGCCAACTACCCCAGGATCCACACCCCTCTTAATTATATCATCAAAGATTTTCTTTGCCTCATCAAGATTATCATTTCTGATACATCCATCCACCAAAGTAGCATAAACATGCATATCAGGTAGTATACCATGGCCAAGCATATCTGAAAGAAGCTGCTTAGCAGCAAGAAACCTTCCAGTTTTGCATAGGCCATTCATCAAAACATTGTAAATACCTGAATCAGGGGATAGACCCCTCTCAATCATTTTGTCTCGAATTGTCAATGCAGCATCAACCTCCCCAGAAACAACTAACCCATGTACAAGAGCTCCATAAGTTACTAAATCAGGTTTATGTCCACATTCTGTCATCTCAACAACCAAGCTTGAGGCCCTCTCAAAATCCCCCTGTCTGCAGTAGGTGTGTATAAGAGGAGTGAAACTTAGCTTATTCGGTATATGTCCTCTCCTTTTCACCTGCTCTAGAAGCTTTTCAGCTTCCTGTAACTTCCCATCCCTACATGCATTAGAAATCAAAATATTATATGTCACTATATCCAACTTGCAACCAACCTCAATCATTTTCCTCGTGGTCTCTACTGCATCCCCAGCAAAGCCATGCCTATATCTACCCTCGATTATACTATTGTACACTTCAGTGTTAACTTGGATGCCCATTGATTCCATTTCCTTTAAAAGTTCATTAAGTTTCTCAAAACTCCCTTCTTTGCAAATCCCGTTTATCATAGCTGCATATGTCTCCACCGTGGGCAAAAATCCCTTCAATTTCAACTCGTTGAGAAGCCGATGAGCTCTGTCAACATCCCCTCTCTTGCAATACCCGTCAATAAGAGTATTATAAAACACAATATTCGGAATGGCATTCTTTCCCCACCTTTTCTCAATTAACCTTTTACCTTCCTCGACCTTCCCTTCTTTACACAACCCTCTGACCATTATACAAACACTATAATTATCTACACAAATATTGTCAACACCATCATCCCTCTTCACCATTTCTTCATATACATTCCGTGCAATTTCGATTTTCCCATTCTTTACAAGCCCATTAAGTAAAGAATTACAAGCCAAAACATGGGGCACCACATTATACTTTTTCAACACAAATGAATACAACTCAAGAGCTTTCTCAACCTGCCCAGATTCCGCGTAGGCTCGGATAACAACATCGAACGCCTCACTCGTAGGCAACTTCTCCTCACATTTCGCACACTCCGCCAACAAATTTTCAATCTCCGTAAACACTCTAGACCTAGCCAAGAGCTTCAAAAGTGAAGAATAAGCAAACCCATCAAGAGAAAAGCTTTTCTGCGACACCCAGTCATAGAACTTGAGACCCAGTTCACAGTCACGAATTTTGTCGAACACTAGGTGTGCAATTTCTGAAGGAGCTACGTCCTCTTCTGAAAAGCGGGTTTCGAGTACTTTTTCCCAATGGCTTTCTTGGGTCCTAATAATTTCACATACCTCATTTGTTAGTTTCTTGATTTGAGGCGTGATGGGGATTTTTGACGGAGGTTTTGGTTTGAATTTGGTAGCATGCAGGGGTTTGATGAGAGAGAGCAGGTTTTTTGACATGGGGAAAGAACAATGCCCAGTTGAGGGTGTATGTAATGTAATAAATGTATTGTTCACGCCAAAAGAAATATCGACTTTATATGAGATTAATTAAAAGTACTAAAGCTGATACTCTCCCGTCACAATTATACTGACTTGTTTCATTTTTACACGAATTAAAAACCTTCTTTAACGTCGTTGAAAAATTAATTTTCAATATATAGTAATAAATTATTGTTGAAATTAGTAAATAATTTAATTTGAACAAGAAGAAATGAAAGTTGTTCCATGTTTTCAAAAAGTGGAAAATGTATGTATTTGAATAATTTCAAGAAATTGACATATTAAGTGGAGAAAATTAAATAAATGTATATTAATAAAGGAACAAAAAAAAATATAATTAGAATAAAGGGAGTAATAAATTATAAGTTGTGACAAACATCTATAAACTTTGTCCAACATATACTAACAATGATCGTGATTTGATCTTAATTTTGATTATAACTTCTCATATTCTTGATCAAATTTATGATGATTGGCCTAATACTCAATATTCCATGAAAGAAATCGGGCCTAATACACCAATTTATGCGCATTTCACAAGTAGACTTACAACCAAGATAAATTATTTTAAGGTAGAAAATTGATTCAATCACTATCGTGCCAATAATAATAACATCATCGAATGGTTATATTTGAATTTTTCAAATTCCTCTAAATTCATTTTTAACCATTCAAAGAATCTAATTTTTTATAAGTCTAAAAATCATCTCCGAGGAACTCTTTACTATGAAAAATAAATCAAGGGACCCAAATGCAAAAAAGATATGAATGATAATCAAAAGCCAATGATAACCCTGAAACAATTACATTCATTTCTTTTGCATGAATAAATCTATTTTTTTCTTTTTTATTGCATTTTACACTTCAAAAATTTTCATGCAGGCGTCAAATCTTCTCAACTATGATAGGCATGCAATCAGAACAATACTGGTGATTGAGCCTACTAAGAAAAAATACAAAGAATTTAACATTTCTTGCACTCGATAAATTACCAACTTTCAGATTTAGATTCCTAAAATATTTCTACACATCTGGAATTCTCACGTTGCTCCATAATCACCCGCTATATAAACCATACATAACACCGATCTCACGTCATTATCTCTAGCCACCAATGATATGACCGATATATGCTCGATGCCCTTCGACCTTTTAGTAAGTCATAAAAAGGAAAAATATAAGAATCTATGCCCTGCATGAGAAATGGAAAAATATATTAGCTTGACAGATAATCAAAGAAAATTTCTATTTAAAGTTGTTGCAGCATATCATTTTAATAGAAATGGAGATAGTACTTTTGTTTATTCTTCATGAATTTTACTAACCTATTTTCGATATAATATGTACATTTTCAGATAGTATGGAAGTCCCATCCCAAAGAAACTTTCAATATAATTCGGTTCATCATCGAAAACCTGCTATCGTGTATCCCTCCAGCAGCCGATCTAAAAATGTTGTACCCAAATCCCACTGTTGAAAATCTTATAGCTTCAAAATTAACGGAGCATATTTTCCATATTACTAAAATGGAAATATGGTGACTTTGAACCACGTTCCACCACAGGTTGATGACAATATGGACATACTGACATGTAAAGAGTAGATTATAGCTTCCACAAACGTACAAATGCAACATAAGAGTACCAAAAATGCTGACTTTAAATTCAGCTCTCGTGTCAAAAAGACGTACAAAAACATAGTTCAACCATTTTCCCCGTTGATTTTCATTAAAATAAGAAGCATGCAAATGTTTACCACTTTCAACAGGTTCAAATCATATATTAATTCATATATAACAAATTTTTAATCTCTCACAATCTTCAAATTATACTCATTCCAAAGGCACCATGTAAGAGAATTCTTTTTCTTGTAAACTAAATGTCTTAATTTGATTTTGGCAAGGTATTATATGTAAGGTTGAAAACATGTAAACATTTTATGCTTTTATATTTTTGACCAAGAGAATGTGACATGAGATGCAATGAGGAACCATATGCCTATTATTTAGGTATATATAAATCAGTTAACCACAAATGGAAATTATATATGTAGATAGGTAGTAAAGCTTTTTTCAAACAAGTACAAATTTTATTTGGATACTATGACGAGGATATAAAGACATCCAATTTGGGACAAAGAAACAACTAACATAACTCTGGGAATTACAAAATAGTATCTCATTTTACTAACTCCATTTCTAGTTATCATCAGTTAGTATTGTTTCTTCAACCTTTATAATGAGTGGGCTAGGGCACTAGGTAGTGAGCATTTTAGTCTTAAATCTGAATTAAGTCTAAACCAAACTAGGGCAAGTTTGAATGATCTCTTAGTGGCAAACAAATGGACAAATGCCTGTGTTCGCTAGGGAGGATGCATTGAAGATGCTCTATGCATCAAGGTACCTGTGAG